CCCCTCAAACCACCCTGTTATCATTAAACAAACAGGTCGGCTCTTGAGGAGAGGACTTGGGTAAACATGGGGTGGCAACCTGATTGGACCCCTGTTTCCTTTTAGTTTAGCACTTTATAAGCCCGGTGCAGAGAAACGGCGCGCTGAGGGCTGGCAGGAAGAGGAAGGTCTGCCATGCCCGTTCCGCACTGAATGCTTCACGAGATGAAAAAATATTGTTATAATATTTACTTTAAAATTTTTACACTTTTCCCGTTGTTTTTGTTTCCCCTATCGCTCTTTATTTTGTTCTGTTAGGCTCTTAATCGATGTTGTTGTTGTTGTTGTTGTTGTTGTTGTTGTTGTTGTTGTTGTTGTTGTCCCCCTTCATTCTTTCCTTTTTTAAAAACGTTTCATCCTTTGTTCGTTCTTTTATCTTTCTATCATTTCAATTAGTTCCATTCCTCTTTTCCTTCTTTTCTTTTTATCAGCTTGATACTGTGTTGTTTACTCCTATACGACCGCCTTTGTTCTTTCCTATTCGCCTTAAAAAACTGGGCTTTTTTACCCTTTGTTCTCTTTATCCTGCCCTTTCTCTGGTTACATTTTGCTTCATTCTTTTACCTGATCTCCGACTTGTTTATACTACTCGTGTTTTCTCTTCTTCGTTTATCTTTATCACTTATACTCCTACTTTAATAAACAACAACAACAAAATAAACAAACGAAAAAAGAAAACAAAACAAAACAAACAAACAAAACATATATTTGACAGTCAACATGACATAAAAAAACACGAAACCACACTAAAAACAAAACAGAAACACGAACTCACCACCCCACCCCCCTCTTCGCCGAAATATCAATGTTCTTAGTCATCCTCTCTCCTTCTCTCCAAACCCGGCTTGCTTTTCCCTTTTCCCATAGTAATGAAAGCACAACGAAAAGATAATTGGAGGAAGACAGCGCCCCGTCCGTGTACTACTTCGCCCTGTATCTAAAGCTTACCTTGAGCCGATCCTCCCAGGACATCTGTAAGAGCTTGATCTGATCAATGGGCTCCCCGAGCTCCGTTACCATGGCAACGGTGCTGTCGACGTCCCCGTCAAAAGGCTTGGTGGGAACGCAGAAGCCGAGGACCTGATTGATGGAAAAACATATTGAGAGGTGAAGACGGACGTCTATAGAGGTGGGGAAATAAAGATCAGGTCTTGGGGAGAGAGAAAGAGGGAGACAGAGAGAGCGGTCG